GCCCCGCCCCGCCCCGCCGGCGGTCTCACCATGGTCTCGTCGATAGGGTAGGTGGTCTTGTCAGGGAAGATGCAGGTGGACAGGCAAGACACCACCTTGCGAGCTCCCACCTCGAAGGCCGAGTGCAGGACGTTGTCGTTGATGTGCACATTTTTCCTCTGGGGTCGGGGGGGGGGCAGGTTCAGGCCCCTCCAGGCAGGACCCCAACCCCTACCTGCTCCTCCAGGGACAGAAGTGGGGACACACCCTGGCTCCTCCAACGGGGGCGGTGCCTGAGCCAGCTTGTCCTCCTGCCCCTCAGTCTGTGACATCCTGAGCTGGCCGTCCCACTCCCAGGCTGTGGGAGGGGCCTGGAGAAGAGGACCCCACCCCTCAGCTCAGGACCGGGCCCCAGCTCCGGGGGCGCTCAGGGCAGGGGCAGAGAGAGCTCAGTGGCCCAATCTCACCGTCCCAGAGGCGCGCACCCGCTCTCCTGCCCAGGAGCAGTGAAGCCTTCGCTGTCTGCACCCTCCCAGGGCCCCACCTGCCCCCTGGAAATTGGACATGAGGTGGCCCAGCTTTCAGACTGGCCTGGGGAGAAGGGAGGGAGAGTGGCTAGGCTGCAGAGAAGGCTGTGTCTGGAAGGAGGGCCCTGGCCGACAGGGGCCCCGGGCAGAATCTGGTTGGAGCTTCTGCCATCCTAGTGCTGGCCGCCGGCTCAACCACACCAAGGCCAACACGCAGGCGCAGCCTGACAGCGCCCCATCCTCCTCCTGCCCCTTACAGCACGCCCCATCCCCCCAAGAGCACATGGCACAGACCCGAGCCCAGCTCACACAGCTGCACCCGGCGGGCCAGGCCTGGGGCAGCTGGACCAAGGGGTCCCCGGAGCAGGAGCGTCTGGAAGCGCAAGTGGCAGGAACCAGCCCCGAGCCCCACAGCGGAGGCTGACTTCCTTCAGTTCCCGCCTGCTGGGCAGGTCCGCGGCTTTTTCTATTCGGCCAAGTGCCCCCAGACCCACCTGCATGTCCTCGGCCCACAGGCTGTGCCCAGCCCTGACCATGCATGTGGGAAGCCAGCCAGGAAGCTCCCAGAAGCCGGCTCCTGGCTCCCGTGCTCACCGCGGCCCTTCACTCACCCAGAAGTCCAGGTTGTATTTAATGTTCCGGAATAGGCCCCCCACCATGGCAGCAAGATGGACGACGTGCGTGGGCCGGACCTTTTCGAACAGGGCCCGGGTCTGTGCAGCATCCCTGGGGAGAGCCGGGCTGTTAGCGGCCCCTTGAAGGCCGAGGGGACTAGCCCCTGGGGTTGCGGAACTGGAGACGGGGCTGGGCAGGGCCCCTGGCGGGATGGGCTGCCCCAAGATAGGGGGGCCAGTTCAGGCCCTGCTGCTATGAGGGTGTGGGAGGATGTTTGCCTAGGAGCAGAGCTGTGCACACCCAGGCCACGCCTGCCACCTGGCGGGGAGGTTGCAGACACGAGGCCAGCAGGCTCAGGGATGGGCCTGGCCCAGAGCTGTCGGAGAGGGCCTGGGGGGTGGGTGCGCCAGGGATGGGCCCACTCACGTGAGATCAGCATCCTTGGAGGAGACGAACACCCAGTCCTCGCCTGGCATCCTGGCCCCGTCTGCTACCACCTTCTGGATGGCTCTGCCCACCAGCCCCGAGCCCCCTGTCACTAGGATCCGCATGGACCCCTGGGGCTCACCCATGGCGCTGCACCTGCACAGCCAAAGGGTGAGGCTGAGGCCACCATGCTTCCACCCGGCCGAGCCCTAGGCTCCTGGGACGCTGCTGTTTAGGGTCATCTGTCCAAAGGCTGGCCCAGGACGCTGCCCCCAGGAGGGGAGAGACCCAGCTGGCTCGAGTCATCCCTCCTCCCCTCCCAGCCACAGAGCCTGCCCCCCCCCCTTCCACCTGTCCCAGGCCTCGGGGCACCGCCACCCCCTGGTACCCTATCTTGGGGCCTGGAAATCGGCTTGAGTCCCTACTGGAAGGCCTGAGCCCGCTGCAGGGCCCCCTGTCCAGCCCCGACACGGGGGTTCTGCCCAGACATTCGCTGCTGCTCCCG